GCAGCCCTCAGTGTTGCCCCCGTACCGGGCCGGGGACCGGCAATGGGATTGCAACCCTCGGTGTTGCTCGAGTGCCTCGCTCAGCCAGTGAGCAGGAACCGGTCTGTATGTGGGATCCGAACCCTCGGGCGGGAGCGCCAGTGCGCTTCCCAAGCGGCGCACTTATCCAGTGCGCCACCAGGCCGGCCCCTAAGGTTTTCCTTTTTTTGGTCTAGTTTTCTTTCTTTTTCGTAATTTGAAAAAGTTTCATACCATTAGGGATTTCATACATTAAAAGAAAAATATCCCCAAATACTCTGCGTCACATAGACCAGCGTTGTGGAAGAATCATTAGCGTTTATCATGTGAAGTGACCAAACAAATTCAGATTTTTTTTTTAACATGAAAGTAACAGTTTAAGGCTCAGAGAGAACGATGGGTAAAACAAATGTGCGTAAAAGAAAGTGGAATGTTTTCTCCCTGAGGAACTTACCATGCATGAAAAGTAATAGCAGTTCTCAGCTAGGCACGTTCCTGTCCTTGCTCAGCCGGCTTGCCAGTGCTGTTGAAACAAGTGCATCGAGTGACTTCTGCAGGGCTGTGCAGGTGAAGCTAACGTGCACTCTCCCCTTCGTAGGTAGACACCACTCTGTCTCAGTTTACCGACCCGAATGTGTACCTGTGGGACGTCCACCACAGTAAGAGGCTTATTAAGGTGGACGGGGTCGTGACCAAGAAGAGGAAAGCCCACTGCGTGGACTTGGCCGCCATCCGGCCCCAGGTCGCCTTACTCCTGGAGATGCACGTCACGCATTTCCGCTTCTCGCTGGACTGGGCGCGGATCCTCCCCCTGGGGAACCAGTCGCAGGTGAACCACACGGTCCTGCACTACTACCGCTGCGTGGTCAGTGAGCTCGTCCGCGCCAACATCACGCCGGTGGTGGCCCTGTGGCAGCCTTCCGCGCCGCACCATGGCCTGCCGCGCCCCCTGGCCAGGCAGGGCGCCTGGGAGAACCCGCACACGGCCCTGGCTTTTGCAGAATACGCCCGACTGTGCTTTAAGGAGCTGGGCCACCGCGTCAAGTTCTGGATCACGCTGAACGAGCCGTACACGCGCAACATGACCTTCAGCGCCGGCCACAACCTGCTGAGGGCGCACGCGCTGGCCTGGCGCGTGTACCATGACCAGTTCAGGCCGGCGCAGAGCGGCCGCATCTCCATAGCTCTGCAGGCGGACTGGATAGAACCGGCCTGCCCGTTCTCCCAAAAGGACAGAGAGGTGGCAGAGAGAGTTCTGGAATTTGACATCGGCTGGCTGGCTGAGCCCATTTTTGGCTCTGGCGATTATCCACGTGTCATGAGGGACTGGCTGAACCAAAGAAATAATTTCCTGCTACCTTATTTCACTGAAGACGAAAAGAAGCTCATCCAGGGTTCCTTTGACTTTTTGGCTTTAAGCCATTACACCACCATCCTTGTAGACTGGGAAAAAGAAGATCCAATCAAATATAATGATTACCTCGAAGTGCAAGAAATGACTGACATCACGTGGCTCAACTCCCCTGGTCAGGTGGCCGTGGTGCCCCGGGGCTTACGCCAAGTGCTGAACTGGCTCAAGTTCAAGTATGGGGACCTCCCCATGTACGTCATAGCCAACGGGATCGATGACGACCCGCGTGCCGAGCAAGACAGGTTGAGGGCGTATTATATACAGAGTTACATCAATGAAGCTCTCAAAGGTGAGGAGCCCCTGAAACAGCCATCTCCTGAAGGTTATGTCGCCATGGGCGTGACACCTGATAGAAACTTCCCAACATGAACACACACGGTCACTCTCAGAATGAATGAAGTGCTGCCCATTCCCCGGTCACGCTGAAACAGTCGAGGACATAGCTAGTATTTTTTCCCAGGGATAAGGGAGTTTAGCTAAAAGTGGAAGCCCGGAAATCCTACTCTGAATCTGTAGAAGTCACAGACTCCCTGTCTTCCATCTCGGATGGCTCCACAGCCGTCTTAACTGCTCCATGCACGTAAAGGTTTACACTAGTTAGCTCAATATTTTTCTTAATAGTCGCCTTTTTATCTTTGCATGAAAGAAGCCTTTAATGATTAAATGCAATTGAGTCTGAAGTTTTATTAAACGGTATTGACGTTTTCCCTGATGCACCAAGGCTATATAAAAGTGAGGTGTTGCATGAAAAACATTTTAATGACTATTCTCTTCTCTTTTTGTTTTTCCAGCCTACTTATTGGATGGTATCAACCTTTGTGGATACTTTGCTTATTCATTTAACGATCGCACAGCTCCGAAGTTTGGTCTCTATCGTTACGCTGCAAATCAGTTTGAGCCAAAACCGTCCATGAAACATTACAGGAAAATTATTGACAACAATGGTTTCCCAGGCCCTGAAACTCTGGGAAGATTTTGTCCGGAAGAATTCACCCTGTGCACCGAGTGCAGTTTTTTTCATACCCGAAAGTCTTTACTGGCTTTCATAGCTTTTCTTTTTTTTGCTTTTATTATTTCTCTTTCCCTTATTTTTTACTACTCTAAGAAAGGCAGAAAAAGTTACAAATAGTTCTGGACGTTTTTCTATTCATTCGTTTTGACATAATTATGCACACATACCAGCTGTTAACCATCTGCAGCTCTCAGTGTTGTGAAACTGTGAATTTCATACATCTGACTATTAGAAAACTTTTTCATGGCGTATGACAGAGGTTTTAAAATGGGCATAGGTGATCGTAAAATATTGAGTAATATGAATAGTGCCAGAAATTTTTCTTTTTTTGAGTGATTAAAAAACTGACAAGTACCACTTGTAACACTCTGTAACAAAAGCATGAAAAACGGTAACCATACCAATGCAACATTTGTACAGATAATTGAATGACAAGATTAGGAATTTTTTTTTTCTGTGCCCATTCCTAAATTTAATGTTTTTCTTGAAGTAATAATTGCAAGCGTTTAAACTAAAAAGTTAAGTCCCAAGTAACCATCTCTCAACTGCCGTGATAATGCCTCATGGCCATACCTCTGTTGAACCAAGTTTCCCATGAAAAAGAAGATGGCAGAATATAGGAGATGACAAAGGTCCCTAGGCTGTAATGTTTCTAGCAAAGGCAATCATTATGAATTTACATATCTGGTTAATGATACATTTAATGAATTGTGGAAATTTGTTAAGTTATATGACATTGAGGTGCTCTCTAAAGCCCTGGTTCTTGAAGGCTTTGTCTCACTGGCACTTGTTGAGGGCCTGCACATAGGAGACTTTTGATAAATGTTTGCAAAAAAAACTAAAACAACAACAACAAAAAACATGAGTCATAAGATGTTGAGCTCTTCAGGAAGCATAAAGCAATGGTGAAATGCAATATCCTGCAGGGGCTCTAGGTGGAGGAAAGGAAGAAAAAGTGATTATGAGCAATACTATGATTTGATTATACGTCCTTTTATATTTGAGCAGAACTTGGAATGAATGAAATGACACTTCCTGAGAGAATAAGGATAAAATAATAACTCATTCTATGAAGTCACACCATTTTCTAGTCTTTAAAATGTGCTGTAATTTCTCTGAATTGATAGTTTTCAAAATTCTTAATGGGTTCAATAGCAATCTGGTGTGAGGACACTGGAAGATTTGCTTTTGTGATCTCTGAGGTCCGTTTTATGTTTTTGCTGCCATTTCTGTGGAAGTAGCTATGAACTAGTTTTGCTTTGAACTTTTACACTGAAACATGCTACTGAGTTCTAGAAAGGGCTAATTAGGTTTTATCTTTTAAAGTCCCTTAAATAAATCTTGCTGATTTTTAGACAGGAAGTCTCATGTTGCACTGGAGTGGTTTTATAGAAAAGTCAATATCACTGCAAAATAAAGCAGTATCACAACAGGCATAACTAACCTCACTGACACAGGGTCATAGTGTATAATAAAATACCGTACTGTATTATGTCTCATCTTTAGAGGTGGCATGATTTTTTTTCCATGAAAGAAAAGATTTTGGTGGTACTCTTTTTAAAACTGAACGTATTAAAATTGGACACTAGAGAATCAATAGTTTATTTTATGTATATATTTTTTTCTGACTATAAGAGTAATGTATGCTTATTGTAAAAAATTTAAAAACAGAAACTATATGTAAAGAGAAAATAAAAATGATCTACAATCTCACAACTCAGAGGTAGCCTCTATTAACATTTCCTGTGTTTTACATAGACTCAGATCATATCGCATATAGTTATGTATCTATTAATTTTCATTGTGTAACTTTCCTTTGTCATTCGTCTTCAAAAGCATGATTTTTAACAATTGTAGAGTATCCTACCATACGAATAGCTTATTTAATCATTCTTATTTGTTGGACTTGTTTCTTATAAATTATTGTTAAATGATGAATATTGTTTAAAAATAATTTTCTTGCTACATTTATTTTAATTTTTTTGAGTGTAGAGAGAAGTAATTCCACTCCTTGATAAAGTATTATAATAAATCTGCCTGCATCTTTGCCTTCTTTCATAATCATATAACTGTCTTCTAGCTTATTTTCTTTTTTAATTAAAAATTTAAAAATTGGGGTTGATTAAACCAGATAAGGTGTGATTGGAGCAGCGACTGCAAGATCTGACTGCAAGAGGAATGAACGGGCAGGCTGGAGGATGGTAGAGGTGGGGAAGGGTGCCCCTGGCTAGAACTTGTGGTTGAGCTGAGAGCAGGTTTCAGGCACTGAGACAGCCAAATAGAGGAAGAGCCAAAAGGGACAAAACAGAGAAGACAAAGTACCCAAGAGAAATGACATCTCAAAACCATCAAACTGAATTACGATGACAGCATCATGCTAACTTTGTGTTAGCAGGAGGTCACTCACGGGCTAGATGAAAGGACACAGGGGACCTCTGGAATCGGTCCTGGGAGCCTGGGAGGCAGGCAGGAAGTGGCTAGATGTGGGGACTTTCTCGTCTTGTGGGGCAAAGCACCCTTCTTTCTTTTCTTTTTTTAAAAAATTTTATTTTGTCGATATACATTGTGGTTGATTATTGTTGCCCCTTACCAAAACCTCCCTCCCTCCTCCCTTTCCTCCCTCCCACCCAACAATGTCCTTTCTGTTTGCTTGTTGTATCAACTTCAAGTAATTGTAGTTGTTATATCTTCTTTCCCCCCCTCCCCCCGGAATTTTTTTTTTTTGTGTGTGTGTGTGTGTGAATTTATTTATTTATTTTTAGCTTCCACCAATAAGTGAGAACA